CTCATGCAAACTCTTCACTGGAAAGGTACTCACGAGAGATCGCGCCAAGTTCTCGTGACAGATCTGATCAAAGTCAGTATTTTCAAGGTATGTTTCTGATTTTCAAGTCATTCCTTAAAACATGAGCTGGAGCCCAGCATGCAGAATTCAGGATTCGAATCTCTGGCACAAACCGCCCCCGGCTCAGCTGCGCAGCTGGTAGCAGGAGGCTTTTCTTTGCACTCGGAGGTGGTTGGAGAAGGCTCTTCACAGCCTGGGGGATTTTAGCATTTGGCACCGTAAACTCTTCCGTTCTGCAAGTTCCTGGAGCACCGACACAAACTGGCATTTTGCTTCCAGCAGATAAAAGTGTGAATAACTACTCCAAGGAAAACCAACACAGCAGCAAAGGCGCCTTGCACTTGTAATGCAAAATACACTGCCTCTCTGCAGGCTTACCTGGCATCGCCTTGCCACGCTGATCATGTCACTGCAGAGTGGAGCTAGCTCCTGCCATCTCGGGAGCTTGCATCTCCTCACAGCACCTTCCATGGCAGGACGATGGGTTTAACTCACCCTGCTCAAACTGCTGGGAGGAGGAGTCTGGGCAGGGAAGGCACCTGATTTCCCCCCCCAGGCCACCATTTGGCTAGGACACCAAATCAACACACAAGTTTGCACCAACCTCTTGTGTCTCTGGTTCAGACAAGGAAGTTATTTATCACGGGCCAAAAAAAACTGAGCGATCGGCCGGGACGCTCCTGCACAAGTGCTGTTTTGCAAATGGAGAGTTTAATGAAGGAGCTACAGAGCTGCTTGGAGATAGGAGAGGTGGCACAGAAGAAAGCACGAAGGTCTCAAAGCTCAAGCAGAGGAGTTAAGGAGGGGTTAAGCTTACCTCCTCATCTCAGCTGAAGCAGTGTGCAGGGAATGGGGGCAAACAGCACGCAGGAGGCATGCCAAGGGCCTCTTGATTTGCAGGGAGGGAATACTGCTCACCAATGGGGATTCAAGTGACAACAGAGCACCTATTTCATATGCGTGTGCACACACCCCAATACTACCAATCCCCAAACCTGTTTAGTATCTCTAGTAGGTAAAACCACTAAAAGCACCCTAAAAGCAGAAGCTGTTTTGGCACAGAGGCTGCTTCACGAGGACACCTTGTGCGCATTGACCCCCGGCATCTCCTGCAGCTGATACCACCCTCCCAGAAAGCCCAACCTGCATCCGAACCCAAGCTGCATCATTCCCATGGTTCCAAAATGTCAGGGCACTAATGGGAGAAGGATAACTGGTAAGGAGGGCACAGCAAGAAACTGGGCCCACACAGGAGGAAGAGAAGGGAATCCTTCTGTCCCCAGGGAATATTCATCACAAATGAGGCTTTAAAAGGAAAGGGGGGACATGTGCTATGCAGGGAAATCGATCTGTTTACAGAAAATATCTGCAGGTTGCCTGAAAATGAATATCCTTCATGTGAAAGTTTCCTTTGAGAGAGCATGAACTTCGGACACACTAGAAGGTTAGGAGCGTAAGTAATGTGTTTTTTCACCTTTAGCTAAAGGTCACAGAGCATTCAAACAATTCCTCTGTTCCCAAGCTGAACATGACAGAACTCAACTAAGCACCCCAACATTACAGCTAATTAATATGGAAAACAAAAATGTTTCCCCTACAATTTGGCCAAGAACCACTCAGTGCTCTTAAGAAGAAACTGTTGATTATTGGTGATTTTAGTTTTTCCTAAAGAAAGTCAAACAAACCAGATCCTTTTCACCAAGCTTCCTTCTTTCCTTTAAAAAACCATGCACACTTGTCAAAGTTTTTTTTTTTTTTTTACAAGTAATTTTTTTTTACTGAGATGGAATTAAATCTGGGGTCATTATAAAATATCACACCATTTTCACATCCAGCCTCCCTGACAGCTGCTGGGACCAGACGTCTCTCAGTGAGGAGGAAGAGTACACCCTGATATGGTTGGGGACCAACCTACCCTGCAGAAGAGCTTGTTCGCTGCACATCACCCGTCAGAACTCAGTCTGGACCAGACCCACAGATTCACAGCCCTGCCCAAAACTGGCACCTAAGAGTGAAACCAGCCAACAAACATCCTCACTCAACCAGTACCAGATCTTCTCTGCCAGCTCCAAACTCAGCAATAACTCCTGGAATGTGCTGCTGGGAGATTGTGCCCGTATGTACAAAGCATATTTCTGTTTATACACTTGAAATGGATCTTCTTCCCCATTTTGTTGGATATTCCTTGGGTTTTATACGATGGGAGAATAAAAGTGCCCAAGCCTGTTTCCACTGCCTTCTGCCCCTTCACAACATCCCCTCTCACTTGCCTCATCTGTGAAATCAAACAGCTGCAATCCTTTAAATCACTTTTCATAAAGTGTTTTCAAGCCTAAAATAATGTCACGGCTCATTTCTGAGCTCAGTATTCCTGCCACGCCGCATTTCCCTGGGTGCGACTGTCACAGTTGGACTGTGATTATTTATTTATATTATAATAGCATTTGCAGCCCTGCTGTGCTCAGCCCTGCGCACGCACCCAGGAGGTGACCCTGGGCGTTTCTACCGACAGGATAAAGATCCCCAGGCTGAAAAATTCCCAGTTCTCGGGAAAGGATGTCATGGAATGCAGCAAACCAGAATCAAAATCTATTTAGATGCAAGACACACTAGTGTCGGGTTGGTTTTGGCCTCTCTTGCGTTCTTCCAAACAAGCTCTCACTGTGCAAACACACCCCATGACAAAACTGACCTGGCCAAGACATGCAAGCAAATACTGCTGACTTTTAATATTAAACAGCACAGCAACTTCAAAGCAATTGGGCTCTCCTCTCCCAAACAATCCCACCAGAGACCAGCTCCAGCCCCAGAGCCATGGCCAGGTTCCAGCTCACGGCACCACTGAGCAAGAGACACGTGTTTGCAAACAGCTGAGCGTGGCAGGGCAGATCATGCGGGGACACGCTTCAAGAAACGCTCTGCCTACCCTCCCAAGGAGAGGCAAGGTGCGTTTGGTTTGCGTGGGGCTGGCACATTTCTGTCGAGAGGAGCCTTTCGGCTTTCCATCCAAAAAAATCTCAGCTCAGACCTCTCCTGCATCCAGACACCTACGAGGTATCACATAACTTCAGAAGATTACATGCGGCTGTAAAAATAGCTTCTAGAAGCAAATGCCAGCAACTTCTTCCAACATTAATATGATAGAATAAAAACAGTATTCACTCTAGCCAGAGAGCAGGTCAGGTTGGAGAAAACCAGTGCTCCGTCTGACTTGCAAACTACTGCCCTGCTTGGTTCACTCTGCTGTTGCAAGAGTAAGGGGAAGCAACTGGGGTTTGCAGGAAACAAGTTCTCAACACCCCAAGGCTAGGAGCCTTTCGCACTCTTTCTAAAATCTGTCTCCACATTGGGTATTGAGGTTTCCTTGGTTTGTTTTTAAATCATGGTTTTGCAACAGCCGCAGATCTTGCTCACCTGGTCACATCCTTCTCCTGCTTGGGTTTCTGATAAAAAGAGAACTGGGATTTTCTTTGAGATAAACGCTCTTGTTACATCCCACCTCCCTGATAAACACGCTCCCACCGATGGAAGCAAAACTCCCATAAATCGAACCAGGTCAGCATGTCTCACAGCCTGGATGAAAAGCTTCTTTGTGCAGAAGCACGCAGGCCCCGGGTGATCTAGATGAGCCAGCTAACGCAGCCAAAAGCTCGTCCTGTGCCCTCCTTAATGTTTCTATTTCAAAGCCTTTCCAAACGCCAGCTCTGCTCCCTGTGCCATTCTGTTGAAGCCCAGCAAAGAGGGCAGATGAGGGAATTTCATCCCTTCATTGACATTTCATGCGTTTCCAGGCTTTCAAGTCAAACCTCAAAATCATCACAGCATGAATTTTACCATTCAATAGCCATCACTGTCAGAAACATAACCCCGAGACAAGGTCTCCTTGCTATCTTGTGTTACAAGCACCTTCCTGGCTGTATCCACCTTGCTGTAACCCACCAAGAAGCAGCTCCAAAGAGCAGCCTTGCAAGCATGTGCCACACTCCAGTACCTAATAAGATTCATGTAAGCAGCTTGAGCTGCCTAAAGCTGTTCCACTAAAGAGAGGTTTTTTTCCGTTAAGGGCTTAAACCTAAGACATTCAACCATCCAGGATGAGCAAGCACAGACGTGAGTGACATGGCACAGAAAGGAGAGGCTGGATCCAGGTGATCTAACCTGTGCAAGCTCCGGTGCATTCAACAAAACACAGCCAACAAAAAAAGCACCACCAGCTTATGCCTTGATACAAGAGGAGACAAGACTACAGGTCAAAAGTAAGAGGGGGAAAAAGAAGAGGATAAAATGGAAATCAATCAGCAGCTCAGTTTTCTTCTTGCTCCCCACAAGTGCCACCACCAGCTGGGAATGACACGTAGAAAGGGTCAGGTCTCTTGACTGAAGGGCAGACAGCAGGTTCGCCCCTGGCAGTCTGCCTGGAAATCAGGAGACCACTCTCCTAGGTGTGAGGAGCAAGAACTGGGCTCACTGGGAAGTGGCAAGCCCACGTGCAGGAGAGGATGCTCGTTCCCTCGTGATTTAGCACCAAGGAAAGGCCACACTGAAAAGGGCTGGAGGCCATGTGCTCCTGCTTCACATGGATGGTCAACCTTCCCCTCTCCCGCCTAAGCTGGTTGCTGCATCCAGCCAAAGGTGCTCTTACGAGGACGACAGGCTCGAGTGCTCAGAAATTACGAGCCAGATCCCAACAAACCCCATGGCAAGCGCTGGGAAGAGGCTGGAAAGGGAGAGAAAAGCTGAAAGCACCGTATAGAGAAACAAAAGAGGATCCCACGAGAGAGGAACGATGAAATCTTGTACCACAGGCACGGAAACTGTCTGATTTCTCTGTAACAGCCACATTTGAGACCAGCGTAGCTGAACCACTGTCCCAGCGATGGGGACACGCCACGTAGGTCCTACCCTGACAGCGGGTAGGGAAGGAAAGTCTCTTGCCTTACCGCATGTGGTCGAGCAATCTGAACCGGATAGGACATGGCGTGCGGGGGGTAACGTGGCTCGGCAGCGCGCCAGCTCTGCGTCACGGGCTGCGTAGATCCCGACATGTCGAAAGAGTAGGCACGGCTGCTGCTTCCAAATCACCGACAAAGGATTAGGAGAGCCGAGAGCTCCTCTTCATCATGTGTGTGCTTTCCACGTCGCGCAACAACTGGAAGGAAGCAGGAAAGCAGTAGGTTACAATTCAGTCAACCACAGTCTCATGAGACAACCGAACATCAAGCCTTCTGTGATCACCAAAACCTGACCGCCCTCGCAATTCTCCAACAGCCCCATTTTCCACTTGGCAAACATCACTGCCAAGTGTTTGCATGGATTACTCCTATCACAGGGAAGTCCAAATATAAGATTATCCCAAATCCATCCCACCTGATTGCCCTGGAAAGCCTTCTCCCAGCACCAGCAGGATCAGGCCTGCAAACTGCCAACAATTTATTTGGGCCCTGTTGACCTATGTCTCTAAATCTCCTGGAGAGAGGTAATTTTTGGGGGGTATGACTTAGTTCCGGAAAATATAAGCTGGAGTTTTGATGCTTCAACACGAGTTCCAAAGGCACAAGATCCCTCTGCCATCCACGCTCTCACACATCCACACACATTTTTTTCAGTACCCTCCTTTCCGAGCTGTGGCCATTTTTGCAGCCACCTGAGGTAAGCCCTGATCTATGCCAGGACGGACTGAGCTCCCCAGCAGCCATCTCCATCCACGGGGCTGCACTAAAACCCAGGACTACAGCATGTCATACACCTCCAGTGCCGCATCAGTATTACATCAGCCTTTCTGATCACGGCCAAGAGCCACAGAAGACACCATGGCTCAGGGGGTGTTTTTACCAACACCCCTGACACCCACACCTTCGCTGCTTTACCACTTGCAATTCCTTTCACAGCTGTAACAAAATGAGGAAAAACAACAAAGTGGGAGGACTCCCCTTGGCCCCAGGGGGAGATTTACAAGTTACTGATTTTTATAGACACTTCACATAGTTTGCTTGGTGAGGATTTTAAGTTTCCTGCTTTTTGTCTAGATTTCAACAAAAAAGCAACAAACGTCTAAATGCTGCCCTTCAGCACTGACAGTTTAAGGTGCATTAACTACTGTTCTCATATTAATGGTTAGTTATACAAAGCATAAATTCCCACTGCTGCCTGGGCTTGGGGGATGCTGCCAGGACTGATCCTGCGCAGGGAGAGTCCCAGCTCTCTGGGTCTCCATCCCCAGAACCCGCCCTCCCCCCCACGCAGCGTCGAGCACACTCGCACGCCTCCTCCCGAATGGAGGTACGCGTTACGTATACATTTGTGCAAAGTTTTTGGCAGTATCAAAACCTTTCATCAGCACACGGGGAGCAGCAGAGAAAGTTTCCAGCACCGTGAGCTCCCTGGTGGCATCTCCCCACGCTCTCGTGGTCTCTGCTGCAAGGGGAGCACAGCCAGCCTGAGCCAACGCAATTTCAACTGAAACAGCAGTTGACAGGTACAAAAACCAAAAAAGGGGAGGGAAAGGGGGGATAAAAAAAAAAAGAAGAGGAAGTTTTTCTTTTTTTTTTTTCCCCCCCTCTCCTATGAGACCACAGATCAGCCCCTGCTGATAAACCACTTGCTATCTGCTGCAGGCAGGCACAGGACTGCCTCACTGGTTTGCCGGCATCCACGCACTGCTTACCAGCCAGAAATAAAATCAAACCGAGGCAACGGTCCCCGGCAGGCTTGGCACGACAAGCAGGGCAACAAGAGCAGGAGGAAAGCAGCCTAAGGAGGCCCCTGTACAAAGAGGTCAAGTTTTACAAAGATGATATTTTTCAGCAAGTTCCCATTAAGGCCTAAGGATGACAGACACGCAGAGACATCTCCATGCTCCTGCCGAGGGTCAGCCCAGCCCCTTCAGCAAAAGGTATTTTGCCAAGTTACATATGGGAAAACACACAGCAAGGTTTGGCTCTCAGGGCAGGGAGAGGAGGGACAATCAGGCCCCCTCCTGCTTTCAGCTCATTCCCTGCACAGGAGCTGGAATTTCCCCCCTGCACCCCCTCTTCCCCACGGAGTCCTGGGGCACCTTACCTGATACCCCGGTCCCAGGAAGCACTGGTGGCCTGGGAACAGCCTGACCCTCATCCTAGACGAGGACAGCCTCCCCACGAAGGAGCTTGGTGTGCTCTGTGCAAGCCACCCCCAGGGCAGGAAAGCCCCTGCGCACGCGGGGGGAATTCAGAGGCACCCAGAAGGCAGCCAGCGCATATTTATACTTCTAGTATGACTACCCCACTTCCCCTCACGCTTCCGACTGGATGGGATTTTAGTTGCCGATTCCACCAAAAGCTGGGGGCCGTGCCGGGAGCACGCGGTTCAACATCTGCTCTGCTCACCCTCCGAGGACACACCACCACCCGCCCAGCTCTCCTGCAGCCCACATGTGCTTCTACAGGGACAAACCCTCCCTGCAGCTCCCAAAGACACGTGCACGATGCTCTCAAGGGCTCCAAAAGCTCTCTGGGATCTGCAGAAGTTTAAGGTACTTTCCTAATAACGGATTCAAACTTGGACATCTTGGCTTGCAGCCACCTGAGAGTTAATTGGCACATGTAAATATATGTATATATACACACATGTATATATACACACACTCCAAGGTGGGGGTGGGGCCAGAGCCCTTGGCAGCTTTCAGCAAGCCAACTGCTTCCCTGGAAGCTCAGCAGGTAGACCAGACCATGCTGTGGCATCTGTCTACAGTAAAAGAAATAGGATTATTTTTCTTTTTTTAAACTCTTCAGATCAGAAGTTCAGCTTTAAAACTCAGCACCAAGTGCAAAGCCACATGGTGTCAAGCTCTAAAACAGTTTGAAAGCTTTTCTGCTTCTATCTGTGCAAGCAGAAGAAGTAGTTAACTCTCTACTAGAGGGATACACACACGGGGTCAAACTACAGGGGCCAACAAGACTGTCCTGCACCAAGGCACGCTGCCTGCGAGCCGTGCTGTGCTGGTGGTGCGCACTCACCGCACGCTAGCGGAACCACAGATGTTTTTTGACTTATCAAGGGCAGCAAATTACCTCTGCCTCAATGAAAAGCCCTGGAAAGCCAAGAGTAAAAAAAAATCATGCACTTGCAAAGAAGCGACGCGCTGCCCATGCACTGCAAACAACCGAGCAGCAGGTCACCAGCAAGATCTCAGCACAAGTTGAAGGCCCTGAATGTTCTCCACTGCAGCTGGACTGTGGGCTGGAGACAACTAAGGTCACCAAAGCACAGGGGCAGCTCTACAGCTGCCATCGCCTTAGATCCCATTTTTATGCTCCGTATGTGAAGAAAGGGGCTGCTGCAGCATGCCCAGCCCAGCACTGCTCTGAGGAGCAGGAGGGTCCACGGCCAGCCAGCATCAGGACTGTGGGTGCTCCCACTGGGGAGCAAAGTGGGAGCAGAGCATCTTGCTGGGGAGGTGCGGGTGCTGCTTCAGGGCTGGGCGCAGCGGGGACCCGGCTTGGCCACCTATCCCCAGCAGAAGATATTGGGGTGTCTCCTCATCCGCAACCCTTTATCAATTATTTTTAAGAGAGAAACACAAACAATAGGAGCAGGTTAATAGACATAAAAGAGAAATAGTGCAGCCAGGCTCTTTAAATCTTAAAGATCGAACTGTTTGGTTCCTACTTTTCTCAACTGATTTTGATGAGGAACAGACATTGTCTCACAGGAAAAGTATTTTCCCCCCTGGTTGGAGTCTCCATCAGAGACTGTTTTATCCGCAGACCTGCATTAGCCATTACAGCACTAGGTACAAGATTTACAGTCTCTGATTAGGAACAGGAGAAAGCTGGAGGTTACCAGCAAACCCAGCACCAGGGCTACAACGTGAACCTGTGGAAGAGGCGAGAGCCCACTGAGACTCCTGTACCCATTTATTTCTACCTGTTTGGGAGACTCCCAGGATCCTGCTCCACTGCTAAAGCCTTCCAAAACTCCACCCTCCTCCCCCCTGCCAACTCCACGCAGCAAGCCGCCACCACCCTGCTCTTCTGTTTCTCCTCTTCATGTGCCATTTACTGTCTAAAATAATCTCCCCATCACCTGTCCTCCCTAATTTACACCCTGAAAGCAGTCTACAAGCCACTGCAAGTTGCTGCAGGCTCGCCTGCATACAGAGCAGCTCTGCCCGCGCGCCCGGCTGTCCGAGCGCCTGACAGTTCCCAGCAGCACACACCAGTTCAGGCACAGCCCCTGCTAATGGTTTGTACGGCATCGGGCCAAGCACACTCGTGTCCAGCCCAAAAGATGAGCACAGACAAGCTCATGACACCCTGCAGTCATCTACAGGTTCACAGTCAACACCACTTAGACACAGAGCTGTACAGTTCCATGCCAGTCCTTCAGGCCAGCTCCTGACCGCAGCAAAAGCATACACTGATACAGTCAGGACCATGCAAAAACCCTAGAGGTCTAAAGTAAGGCTTTGCAATTAAATTGAGTTGCAAAAAAAAATTATTAGCATTCAACACACTTGTTGATCTCCAAAGTTAGAGCCAAACCTCCCAACAGGCTCTGTGCTCCTCAGGGAAAGCAGGATTACCAGGTGAGGTCCCTCTCTTGCCCCTGACATGATAGAAATGTGGGTGAGTTGCCATAATTACCTGATGCCTTAGTTCATCTGTCTGAAAGGTGAGAACAAGACACTCCCAACTCACTGAAAATACCACTTCATCCACCTTCAGAAGAGTTTTAAAGAGCCCAATGAAAACACACTGCTCCAGTTCAAAATAAACTTTTTTTTTTTAAGCAAGGACACGCTGAAATAAGATTAACAGACTGTTTTGTTTCTCAAGTCCAGAGTAATGTTACTCAACTTGTGGTCTACAAACCATGAATGGTGTACAAAAGACGTTAGGAGGCAGCCCACAAAATGACTGCAAAAGACCTTATTAAAAGGCAACTACTAGTACCACCATACTATATAGACAGGGCAAATATGCAAAAATGCTGCTAGCACCACCAGAGCACATTTAATTCAAGAGTATTGACAACAAAGCTAATGTTTAATTACATTAAATTATGCAAGCTTTTGGAAAAAACAACCAAGTCATCTTTACTCAAATGCCAAACACATGACAATTTTCCTCCTCAACCAAGAAAGAAAAGGTATGCATCATCTTCCAGTCA